TAATAGTTCATAGGAAACCCTAAATCTGTATTAAATGTGTGTTCAGTAGATTTTCAACAAATAAACAATACAATATTGTAAAGACATTTCAAGCACCTTAATTATAAAACACGTTAAAGAAGGGCAAAGGGTGATGTATGGATACACGCTCCACATGACAACCCCTTTCGACTGGTGCCCCAAATCATATAGAATACGTCCTTAGCAAATTAATTAATTATATTGTCCAATAATTCACAAACCCTTTTTGAATAACTATAGTTTAAGTTTTTACTAACACTATTCTGAACATAAATTGACTTTTTAATTATCTTTTTGTGTTTCTATTTTTAAATAAGTATTCAAAGTTTTATAACTGGTACATAATTCTTACGCTTATTGAAGAAAATGTCTGAGATACTTGATAAAATTTTATTATTATTTGTACTAATGTATAAAACAGTAGGGTTTGTTTTCTGCTCGAACTTGCTAATCTCAGAACCCACTGATTTTATTTGGAAAATTCTTTAAGTGTGAGATATCCTACTCGTATGTAACGAAGGAAAGCTGTATATAATGACAATCTAAAAGCATAAGGTACAGTGTTTCAAAATTAGGGATTTCCATTGTCTCTCTTGAGAGCTTTAGCTGAATGCTAGCGTAACGGTGAAAGTGTCGTAGAAATTATGTATAATAATAGATTCGTTCGTCTTTAAAAATTTTGAAAAAATAAAAAAGGCCGCGACGACATAGGGCATCTTTTTGAAGTTGGACTCACAATAATCTTTTTTGAGGTATCTAATTTTGTTTTAAATTAATTATTTTCAAAGTTGCTCTCGCACACGAGATAATAATGATATATAAAGTTCATGTATACATATATGTGTTTGTTTCTCCATCAATATATATTCTGTCGGAAAAAAATATACTACAATAACTTGATTGCTTTGCTTTAAGTTTTTGGAGAGTAATCTTCAAGGCAATAAGGCTCAATTTTGAATGTGCGGAAATATTCGTAATGAAGAGACGTGTGACTGTATCACATATACCCACATAATTGTGAATAGAAATAATATTAACTTCTAATATAGGGCGAGCCAATCAGCTGTTTGCTACGTCTTAGCTTAGACAGTAACGTACAACTTACAAGATTTCAAAACCCACCACTCTTACTTATCATTTCAAAGCTCCACTTTCACTGATAAAAGTACCTTCATATAACACTTTATAATAGCTTTTGAACGTACATATTATTTTAAATTATTTCCACCTTCTACTTATACGAATTGCCGTAGGAAGTAATACTCGTTAGCGTAAAATAATTATTCTACTCGGAGAAACTCGAGGGCACAAGCTAGTTAATTAATATTCAAAATTAATTTATCATTACGGTTTTGTTTACAGAAACCGGTGTAATTATTGAATATTAATTAATTTCAATACATATTGCGGGTCGATACAAAACTATCAAGGATTGATTCCATTTATAAAATTCACACCTGTCATCATCAATTGACACCACATGATAAGCTATAAGTTACAATCAACCTTCTGTATGTACATCTTAAGATACACCACAGTATAAGTGCTATCAAAAACGCAATAATATTACTATATTTGAAAGAAAATATTAAAAAGGGATATGAAAGTAATATCCGAACATTCCCACTACCCAAATAGCACGTATCTACTCAAATCAAGGCGACTGATTCTTTTCGCTCTGTTATATTGCAGAATTAAGGAGGGATTCGTAGCACGCCCGCTGGTTTCGCGGGATTCAAGGTATTCGAGGATTAATATTCCTATCGCGCCCGCCTATCATAATTACAAAACATGATATCAAAAGGCCGCACTACATGTCTTGGCTGACGGCATGCTAACAGCTGCATGTGCAATGTGCATAGAGAGTTATCTACGCACCAATAAACTTTCTCTGAATTTTAATAATATTATATGCGAAAACCTTAAAAACTATGGACTTTAATATTCATTGTACATACATAATTTAATTAATTTTAAACGTTCGCGTCTCCTCTTCGAATTTTATTCATAGTTTGTTTGTATATTTTATTCGCATTAAATTAATTAAAAACTGTTCACACTAACTTTTTATTATAATGTAATATGATAATATGTTATAACTAGGAAGCAGGTTTTTTGTTAATGTGACTTTATATTAATTCAGAACTTATTCAGACTTAAGTTAAAAAATTAAATTGAATCTTCATTTTTGGAGTGGAAATTGTGGACTGTGACAAGATTATAAATATATATACACATGCAATTAAGACAGCCTGATACATATACAGATAAGAGCTTCAAACCAAAATTAAATAAAGAATTGTGTTTTTGTTAAATAAAGAGAATAAATAGTTTTAAAAACCGAAACCGATGAAAAGGGAAGATAAAAGTAATAAAAGGAAACAGTATAGTTTACACACAATTGTTCGATTTTTAATTGCGTTTAATATGTATGTGTAATAGTAAATACTTCGATCCAAGACGTAGTAGACTAGCAAGAATAACAATGAAGCTAGTACATAATCATATTTCGATTAATAATATAAAACAATAAATTACTGTCAAACAAAATTAATAAAAGGAATATGTTTTGAGTTGTTCCAACCCGTTGTTTTGTCCGGGAGTGTGGTGCGTATATTTTAAAGCTATACTCAAAATTTGTAAAATGTCCCGTAGTTTAGTTATACTACGCAATTGCTTTGATGTTGTGAGTACGGATTTGTTATTTGACGTAACGCTCACACACACAAATACTTCATACATTTAATTTAAACAATATATACAGCACACAATCAAATAGAATTATATTTAATTAATTAAAAGCTTTGCCCTTTCATCATTTAATGGCTAATTTTATATTTTATTTTATTCTAATAATAACAATACAATACATTACACTAATATTTATGGGAATTAGTTTATGAAATGTGAATGATATTTAACTTTAACCGCGTCCGCTTTTAATCAGTTCTAGGAAGGCGAGCTTTAGTAATTAACTAGTAAACCCGGCGAACTCCGTTTCGCCACCAGAAGGCTTTTATATAACATTTCGTTTGGTGATTAAAAGTTGAAGAATTTTTTTTTGTTTTATATTTGAAAAGGAAAATTTTATTTCATTTCCTCACATTAATGAATTCATTTCGATTACAAAAATGAAGTGTTATTTAGTTGAACTTCTCTAAGTAAATGAAAGTGAATCCAAAGTAGATACCGAATCGAAGCGTTATACGTGTCCGCAAATTATTCGTTTCATTGAAGTGCTTTTTTGCAAATAAAGCGGATGGTTTCCCAACTCGTGAACACGCAAAGTATAACTGCCCAAGTGAAATACAATGATTTTCTAAATTTATTCCGCAAATACTAAATGGTTTTAAGAGTTTAAACTACAAACACAATACCGGTTTGTCACATGAAATATTCATATTTATTTAAAGTATAAAACTAATGGCTTCCTAGATAACCTGTCAGCTACACATTCAAGTTGAATTTACCGGTAGGGAAGTAAGCTAGAAATAATATGATCCAAGTTTTATACAAACGACAGCTTTGAAGTTGCTTTGGCAATCTTCTACATATAAGAAATCTGTTGCAGGAAATTGAGCAACTCCCTAGCTTACTGTTGGTTATGAATCATTTTTATTTCTTTTTCAAATGATACAAATGATTAAAAAATCTTGTATAAAGTAGACGTTTTCATTTCGATCTAAGTTGATAACTTTATTTTATTTGAGAAATATAAAACTATTACTTTCATGACATAAAATCTACTCAAATTTAATTCTTTCATTATGAAATATTCTTTAATTATGTTTATATAGAGCTAAATAGTTATAAGATTTTAGGAAAACTTTTTGCGACCTCGTATAAATCACTTCAGCTCAACTAAAGTCAGAAACGAAAAAACATGTAGGAAAGACTATAACATGTATAATTAGTGAGCAGCCGCAAGCAGCGATCAGGCAATAAATATAAAAGTTGCTAACGACTCTTGATAAATTACTCCGCTGTTATCCTTATGATGGATTATAGAAGCTATTAAAAGTTGTACAAAAAATACGAAAAGCATGCGTGTGACAATAAAAGCATCTTTATTTTGTAGCGTCAACAATAATTTAATGATAAAAAATAATTTGATATAATTAGAAAACATCGAAACACGCGTATCAAAGGGTAATTAAATTAAAAAGGTTTTAACATTTCCTATTCTCACATGGATATGTACATGAACATATACATATTTTTGTTGCAGTTTTGACTAAAAATATCTCAAGGCTTTAATATTATTTGTTTTATCATAAGTTTTGAATGACCGCAGTTAAAAAAATTTAAAAGTGGTCCATGCAGTCGAAATTAATTAATTTATTTTTATATTATTTCGCCTCATATTTCTCCTCTGAAATAATTCTTTTAATTTTGATTTTTTTTTTTTGGCAAAAATAAGATTTGGGTTGTCAATTACTATAAATCGAACTGATGGTGAACTTGGAAATAGCACATAGCAGCTATATGGTCAAGGATTTACGATCGTTATGTATGAGAGCTATAATCTATAATAATCATTCTTAATTTTAACAGAGTTATCTATAGCATTCTATTTAGTTAAAAAAAAATACAAATATCGAACACCTGCTCTTAAACTGAAAAAAATCTCAAGACTTCTCAACAAAGTAATCTATAAGTAACATATAATTTAAAAAACAAAATCATAGAAACAGAAATAACAACAAAATATGCCTAATATTCTGTCATATATCTGATTGTGATTTGTAAGTGTACCAATTTGCAATCTGTCGTATCGAACCCCTTAAAAACAATTGCAATGTAGTCCGCTTGATAAAGAGTGGTTTTGGTTATTTCTTTTCCTAGTTTCCAAATTTCACATTTCTTCATCAGCAAATAGAAAATCTAGTTTTACCTGCAGTTGAAGATGTTAACACAAGAATAATGTCCAAATACAGTACAAAAACAGAGAGCCCCTTCAGTTAGCTTCTAAAACAAACCTGCATCTTGCTTGCTTTACTCCGTTTAATAGATTCAATGTATAAACGGGGTTTTTCTTCTCCGTTATAAAAAAAACCATCCGGTTGTTCCACCAGCAAGTCTTCCAGGAGACTACAATTCATAAAAACATTCTTCACATCTATTTGAATAATACCGATATAATATTCAGCGACTACAGAAAACAACATTCTTCTAATTGAACAGCTGATCACGGGGGCAAGTGTCTCCATCAATTCCATATTTTTGCCTAAAAGCTTCTGCCACCAGATGCTTTGAATTGCAGTAGCTCTGAGAAAATTGATGCAAAATGCATAAAGTAGATTCTCGTTGGTTTGGAAATATATTTATTGGTTGTGGTAAATAATGAAACGTTTTTTAATTAAATTAGAAAACTTTCTTTCTACATATTACATGTAACATTCAGACAGAAGGGATCGTAAATAGGTTAGATACAGGCAAAAAGAAAAAATATTTTAGTTTCTTTTCAATATGCTACTAGTTCAATATTGTCAAGTAAAAAAGACTATAAAATCTTTAATATAGAATTGTTCGAGAATAAATTTACGTAAAGTAGTATGTCACAGTAGTGATAGTGGTGATTTTGTTAACATATCGAGTTTAATTACAAATGGCAATACTGTATGTACCTATCCAATTCAGATTTAAAGTACTTGAATGACGATCAAACTAGTGACATTGAATAAATAAAAGTTGATGTTTTCGACTTCAATACATTATCTCATTCGACAACACCGATGCACATAAGCCTTTGGTATATCGGATGACTCCTGAAATGTCAAGTATGGTCTAGGAACTTCTGAGAAATATGTAGAATGACTATGCGCTGATTTGGGATATAAAGGACATTGAAACAAAATTAAGTGATGGAGAGGTGGAAAAGTGGCAATGAAGAAATAAAAAAAATGTCTAGGACTCTGCATTGAATACTCTCTCAATACTGGAGCTGAACTGAAGGCATCAATAAAAGCAAGTTGATCTAAAGATAGTTCAGGGTTTACCTTAAAGCAGAGCATTCTTACTAGATCACCACTGTGGGATCTTAATTTGAGGGTTCAAATGTCCCCTCCCCACTGAGAACTAAACTTATGCTATCAAAGCCAGGCGAAGAAGTTCGTGATTCTCGGAAATAATAGAGTCGAAACGGCACAACGTGTGGTCGTATTTGCTATAGATATCCCTGTCGATATTTCTGGTATAAAAAATATAATTAAATAAGTTATACATATTTTGTCTACTAGTTAATTTTAATAACATAAAAACATCATAATTTTGAAATATATACTTTTACTATTTCTTCCAATGAGACATTTTTCTTATAAATCACAATACAGTAATAAATTCAATTTACTTACAAACATATTTGTGTCAAACAGAGACTAATCAAATGTGCATATACTGTTCAGATGGTACATTAATAAAACTTTTTTAAGTCCACATCACTAACCGGTGACAAACGGCAGTATGGCCAATCAGTGAGGAAATTACCTCTTGACAATTTACTCAATATACAGATCTAATAATTAGAACCAGCCAGGAGCTTTTTCAATTCTTGCGAAGTTGTCCAACAAAATCTCCATATAAAACAGTTCATATCTTATTTATTCATATTTATTCTTTCTCATATTAAACATTTATAAAATTAAAAAATATATAATAAACATACTAAGAAAGAATTAGAGAAATAATATCTTAAAAATCATGGTTTGTGAGGCGAATATTATCACATATTCAACATTAGCAGCGAATGTAGCAAGGGATCAAAGGGACTCAACTAAGAGAACGTGGGCAATATGCTGAGTTATCATTTCAATCCTTACTTTGAGATTTCCTTTGAATACATTTCACTTTTTATAACATTATCCTCAATGCGGATTTCAATTTAGATTCTGCTATTTACACTCAGATTAAGCTTATATAATGTCTCAAAAGTACCACAAACTGAAATTACAAAATATGTAAGTTGATAACTGACTCTCGCTATCGTAAATTAGACGAATTACCAACACTCAACTAAAAATAAATCACAATTAAATCGCAATATAAGAACCACAACATAAAAGGTCTCATATTTAATTAAAAATGTGTGAAGTTAAAAATCCTAGCAATCAGGATTTCATATTCATATAAGATGTAGAAAACAAAAACAATAATGGGCCACCTATGGAGCACAATAGGGATAGTTTCATAGAATTTCATTTAATTGTAGAATTCGTCTTTGAAGTCGGTTTGCTTTATGAACTCGAACCCAATCAATACGTATCTAGAAAGAATTGTTTACAACAAAAGGTGCCAGCAATTGAACAACAACCGATCACGTTTTCAAATTATAAGGAGTGAGTGAATATGAGAATATATATCAATATTTTCCACTATTTCAAAATAGTTCACAGATATACAATAATGAATACTCATTTATTTCACATTTAGTATTTTTGTTACAGGATTTATTCTTTTATTTCTTTTAATTTAACAATAATTAACACTTTTTAGTTTTGTTGTTGTTAATATCTGTAAATAGGTGTCATCTACATAATTATTCTTATTAAGTTTTAGTTTCAACATAGATTAAGTTTACCTTATTAACCTTTTGCTGTAATTATTTTGACATATATTTTATCAGATGTACTTAAATACCAAATAAAGGTAAAAATTATTTACAAATTATATTTGTTACACAAATAAATATTCCGACGGGACGCCACACCCGGAACAATTTGCTCTAAAATAGAAATGTTTACTTAGGTGCCTACAATGTCACGAACATTTGCTTCGTATTGCTCAAACAGTAAAGATTATTTCGGCAAAATCCATTAACTTTGTAACATTTAATTTCAACAAACGTATTTAATTGTTGCTCAAGCCCTAACTTGTACGAAACGGAGTACAATTTAAGCAAAACATAGAAATAATAAAACACGATATACAGTTCAGAATGTAGGATTGTATGTTACTTCCAAAGAATGCTAAGCGCTTTTCAAATTTCCCAATGACTTGAAATATAACTCGCAACAAATTAACAAGCAAGTCAGTTTTTTATTTTATTTTTTTTTTATGAAAAAGCTACTGAAAAATTACTAACTCAATTTATATATTTTGTTTGTAATAAAAATATATTCTCGTGACTTATTTACCTCACTCTTATTAAGTTTTATTCAAATGAGTCTTTAGGTCTGTGAATTAATTAAAAGAATAACACAAGAAATCAATAAAGATTCCAAAATAGTAATAATAAGAAATGTGAGTAAGAATATAATTTGCATAGATTACTTTTATGTACCTTGATCAACTTATACCTAGAAATTGGCTGTTTGACCAATCTAGCAGGTAGGCATACGATCATAGTACATAATAACTCTACTCAATCCACGCTTCATCCGTCAAAAAATACGTAACTTCTGGCTGTCCCGCCATCTTGGACTAATACAGTGCAAGTGAGACCATAATATCAATTAATCTTCTAATATATTTTATTTTTTAAAAATAGTCATTGTAATTTTATTTCGTTCAACATTCTCATTCTGCCTAACATTTCAAAGAATTTACAAGAAGATTCATTGCAATTTTTTATATATAAATGATTTGTGTTCATTGAAGATATTCAAAACAAAGAGATCGAAAGTCTTGCATACAATTCTGGCCCTCAATGTAAAGACATGAAAATAGTATTAATTTAAAGGTTCAAAATTAAGAATTTCTTCATTGAAAATTCTATAGAAATTGACAATCAGATAGCTGAGTTATTGGAGGTTTAGTAAAAGTAAGGTTATATTGCATTATCTTTAAGAGTTAGATGAATACACTTAAAAGTATGTGAAAAATAATAATTTTATTTAGAAGAGAATATCTGATAAGTTATAACAAGGCAAGAAAGACTCAAAGACATACAGATATCGGTAACAAGTATGGAATTTTACGAGGAACAGGAGGAGTGAACTATGTGATAAAAGTCATAAAATAAAACAAATAATTTTAATGGAATATTTTATTCCTCTTCAATAATAATTAAAATATCGTCTAGGAACTGTGCACGGGGTACAATGTTACTATGTAGTTGCTATCGTACAATTCACAACGATCCATCGTTTCAGTAATATCCAATCCACAAGACGGCGAAATAATCCAAATTAACAATTCCAAGTGAAACGTGCAGGCGATCGTCGGTGTCCAATGTGAAAGCAATGGTCGTAAAACGTTAGGCGGGTTCGGAGTCCGTAAAAAACAAAGCAGTGGTCGTTGAAAAAGTATAATGATCGGGAAAGCACTCGAAACGCATTGAAAAACAGGAAACAAGTCAGACTCAGATAACAATGCATCTGGCATGGTAATTGTTAAGTGTCAATGTCATGTTGCCATAGACTATATACTGAATGATTTTGATCGATACGGAATCGATAATCGAAAAGGATGTTTCAAAATAATATTTAATATTATTATTATGTTAATACACGTTATGAAAAGTTATTTTTATTGTATTGTAGATATACATATATGGTTTAGTTTAAATGATGTTACTATAAGTTTAAAACTGGAAGTAAAGTTTTTATTTTGTAGTTAAAATATAATCGAATAATCATTTTTATTTAATTAATCGTTAATCGATTGTTTCATAAAAACAGTAATTTGCATATTTCTCCGCTTGTAGATTGAGAATTTATGCAGATTTTTGGTATTTCATTCAAAAAAAATAAAGTAATTTTTTAAATCAAATTTGAACTCATTACATTTTGGGCTCACAAGTTTCCATCTCCTTTCAAAGCAACATATGTTGGGAACCATCTAAATGAAATGAGAAGCTGCGGACCCGATTTTAGAAAAGCTCAGCAAAGGTTTTGTAAGAACATAGCTTAATTAAGAGTTCAAAGGATTTATTACGTAACACATTTTTTTTTGTTTTAAAAAAACTACATATAAAAAGATGAAAAAGGTACGTACGTGTACGATGGCGTTGTCTATTACTCTGACATGTGTTTATTTGGTGCACCGTTCTTTCAAACCACATGATTCGTTTTGCAATAAATTTAGATTTTTTCTGTTATGGCTTTGATACAAGTCTTTTATGTTTTAGGACAAATTTTATTTCTTACAACTTTATATCAGATGTTTTAGTTATTATGTAAAATGTTTGTGATTGGTAAACCTACGCTGTAACCAACTCAATTAGGCACTGAATATGATTTGTCTTTGAGAAAAGATCTTTAGTTGATATTGAAATCTCAAT